CCCCCAGACCGGAACTCGACCGGTGACCATAGGTCATACCATACTACAGTAGGATAGTCAGAGTATATAATTATAATATCACTATCAGGGTAAAGCAAGGTTTGTAGTATTAATTAATTGATTGTAATATAACAACAATAGTAAAATCCATATATGCTATGAGTTTTGGCCCGAAACCCCGTAGACCGGAATTCGGCCAGACCAATTAGGACCCACAGTACATAAGAGGGGTCATCCCTTTATAATACCATAATATCATTAGAAGGGTAAAGCAAAGTCTATAGCATTAATTAATTGATTAGAATTGCATCTACGCTTATATTTCCATATACATCGGGAATAATGACCCGAAACCCGTAGACCGGAACTCGAGACCACTAATTAAGACCGCTTATGTTGAAGAGGTGATGTCCACCTATGATACCATAACCTCATATTTGGGGTAAAGCAATTAGTGTAATTATAATTAAATTGTATAATAGTTATGCCAATGCCTTCATATGAGATCCTATGAGGCCTTAATGTAATTCAATGTATTTTTATGTATAGCATTAATATCGCGTACTGTATGTACGGCTATACAGAAAATACCGGCACATATCCACCAATTATATAGAACTTATAGAGCTAGTTCTCATGCATTGCTTCATGCATTGCCTCATACATTACACCATGTATTGCTTAATGTAATGCTCTATATATAGCCACACATATTGAATTATACATTGTTTGGGCACTGCCACACTATTGCAGTGCATTGTAAGCTACTCCTACAGTCAATGAATAAGACATCTAAATTCACTCATTGGTCTAAACAATAGTATGCGGCAATGCTAGAAGCATACGAATGTTATACGTTTTGAGTCTCGAGCAAGGGGTATAAAAAGCCGTGCACAGACCATTTTCGGTACGCTTTCTCTTAGTCTCACAGTCCGTCTCCACGCTGGTCAGATCTCTCATCAGTTTTAGCTTATTTTCAGAGAGTCTTAGAGTTTTTGAGTTATAATATAGGTTTAGTTTTAGACTTAGAGCTTTCCGACTACTTTTAAGATTACCGGCTGGTCAGTGGTTTTTAGTCCGCTTTGATAGCTGAGTCTTACCGTCTATCACAGTCCGCAGTCCCGGCGACTGACTTGAACTTCACTTGTCATAATGTAAGTCTTGTAAACCTTTTAATATTTTATAAATAAATGTTTTAAGCAAAGTATATATCCAACGCGTGCAGTTATTATCTTATCATAATTATTATTATTGTATTTAATTAATTATACGCGGCCCGCATGGCCACCTTGTAGTCTTGAGGTTACTCGCTAAGTAATTGCGCTAATCGAATGCTCAGGTCAGACCAACGAACAGGGTCATTGTGTAAATCTTCGGAAATACACCTTGATTGTTAAGTATTGGATTATTTCCAATCATAATCTAACACAGAGCCCAGTGTTAGATTGTTTCACCCGCTATTGTGCTTTCGGCTTAGATGTGCACTTTATATAAAGCTTGTTTAATTATCTATATTGATTATATGATTGATTGTGTGGCCTCGAATAAATATGTATGGCAAACACTTTTGATCTAAGGTTTGAATATACTGTTGATTGTGTCATCTCGAATAAATATGTATGATGATCACTTTTAACTAATGGTCAATTATGATACCTCGAAGACATATGTATGGTATTCATGATAACCATAAGGTTTTGATGTTATATTTGTCTTGTCTTGTATTGTCCCGTACTTATTTAAATTTGATGTTATGGTCTCCGAAGGTCTTGACCATATAAATGACCAACACGTTTGATGTTAGCACCAGGTCTGACGGCGTGCCCTCTATGAAATCCACCGTCGCTAGCGGCGAAGCGAGCGCCATTATGAATTAACTCGTTCTTTTGAACTGTACGCCTCGCGAGGTTCACATTCTCTTTTCCCTCTATTTAATTATATTAGTTTTATTATCGGCTACGATCTGTAATTCCTCAGATAGCCCAACATTGCACGTTACTAACCCACTTAACTTTTATTGCGTATATAAAATAAGTCTCCTTCAAAGACAAATAGACGGGTTGTCTAACCACGTCCGAGAGTGTGTAATAAGACTTTTAGCAAATTAAGTCTGACCAGACCGAGAGCCAACGAAGTCTACGTAGCGCAAAAGCTACCGGAGTCAAGTAAGAGCGCTAGGAATTTAGAACCTCAGACACAAGCATTACGGACAATACTCGAGCGACGAGTATTGTCTGTCTAAGGCCGATTGGAGCACATCGGCCGCGCCTTGTAACAGCGGTACCGCAGAGAGACGGTAGCCGTCCGTACCGCTGAGCCTATAATAGCGGCACCGCAAAGGGTGATAGCCACCCGTGCCGCCGAACCTATAAAGCGCTTGCGATCACTACCCGGCACTTTCGCGTCGAGTGTACCTAACGGGTAGCCATTTGGGTAGAGCGTCAAAAAAGAACGCGAAGGGAACTCACAGTAAAACCGTTGCTCATTGTTTGAGTCACGCGCTAACGAATTGCATACTTAACCCCTGTAATTAAACATCATTAATGTACGTTTTATACGAGGGCGGTTTTACACGTGACAATTATGGAGGCACCACCGAGATCGGCACCATATTTGCACAAATATTGAGTATTGACCGATCTGTACCTCTAACCAGATTGATTGCAGACACTTGCTGGCGATTGACTCTATTATAATTACTTATATGAATTTTTAACTTATACTTAATATCATGAGACAAAAATTTTGTATAAAATTTTGTGTATTATGTAGAAACTGTGGACACACAGCTATCAGTTGTCCGCGCTATTCTAAAGATAACCAAAATTAATTAAATATGACTTCAACTAATATTTCTGATATAACACCTAATTTTCAAAATAAATTTAGAGAATTCGACTCTAATGATAAAAACTCAAAATTTTGGTTAGCACAATTTGAACAAAACTGTATTTTAGATTCAGATACAGATAAAGAAAAGATCACTAAATTTTACAATCATTTAGATGGCCAAGCTTTATGTTGGTATTATATAAAAGGCTATCATGCCGATATTACAAAATACTCGATTGTCAGAAACGATTTCTTAATTGAATTTTATAAACTAGAGAGCGACACATTATTAAAACAAATTTACGACCTGAAATATAAACATCTGTCAGGATTTGCAGAATATGATAACCGTATGCATAATTTGTGCACAAAATTAGACCCGTGTATGTCAATTAATACCTATATTAAATTTATAACGCACGGTTTACCAAAAAATTATAAAATTTGGTTAGATATATTCAGACCGAATACAATCGAGAATTTATATATTATAATTAATTGGATTGAGAAGAACGTCCATAAAGCTACTTTTAAAGTTGTTTTAAAACCAGCAGATAGAGTTTTGATAGTAAGAGAAATAGGGCCACCAATTAATGAAAATTCATACCAATATCAGGTATCAGAAATTCCATTTTGTTCACTTTGTAAAATTCATCACTCCGATGGAAAATTGCCCAAATATTAACAATTAATAAATATAAAATTTATTCATTCTGTCTTAAATACTTATAAAATTTATAAAAAATATTATAAATAATATCACCAAAAACTCATAAATTATGAATATGACACCCGAAACTATAAAGCGGCTCACAGACTGTGATGCCGGCACTATAATAAAACATCCATCAAATGATTCTAAAGTTTCAATTAATTTACCAGATCAAAATCAAAGCTTATTAAGAAGGTTTCTAAGGCTATTAACTATGATACTATGTTGTCTAATCCCTAAAAAGAGTAGTTTTAGGAGAAAATCGAAAATAAAAATTGATAAACAAAAAAGAAATGAAACTGAGATATTGTGTAAAGAGACACAGATTGAAACCTTTCAGATAGGCGATGATATTGATAGTATATAGTTATTGTATTCTTAGGTTACATAACTTTATCTAGCCGTAAACGGTTACCTACATTAATACCGTGTTTATTACGTTCCCAACGGTTATTAAATATCTCCACATTAACTATAGTGATGGTTTGAAACATTTAATGATTTTATTCATACATTAATACGGGTAGATTATAATATACGAATGGCTAAAAATACAAATAAATTATCAAGTACTGAGGCGAATAGCAATACCTCTTAATTGATATCACTACGTTTGAAACATTTAATGATTTTATTCATACATTAATACGGGTAGATTATAATATACGAATGGCTAAAAATACAAATAAATTATCAAGTACTGAGGCGAATAGCAATACCTCGGTTGATAGCAGACCATTGAAAATGTTAAAAACAACAAATAAGAGGTTTAAACGCCGTAAAAAGCGTAAGAGAGATATATGTTCCAACTGTTTCGATCCCGGACATATAATTGGAAACTGTCCACTAACCTATAGCCAGGGGAAATCCATAAAACCTATATATTTCTCTGGTGAATATAAACCCGATGAAATTGAATTAGATACTCAAACTTGGCTTCAAGAACTTGAAAGCACTTACATACCAGAAAGTATGTCTAATGTAGAGAAAATTATCACATTTAAGAACTATTTGAGTGGTTCAGCGTATACCTGGTTCAGTTCCAGAGGTTTTAATCCGATAGACAACAGTTATGCTGAGATCAAGAATGAGTTTCTTAACACTTTCTATAACCCGACGTGTGATATTTACCTGAGAAACATTCTTAAGGGAAAATATAAAGATACGGTGATAACCAAGCATTATATCCTGCGTATAAACGCTATTTGCAGTGGAATAGATCCCACCATGACAAATGAAACGAGAGTAATGTTATTAAAATACAATTTACCTAACAAATATAAGAGGTGGATTGATATTTTAAAACCACGGTCCGTTGATGACTTTATCGTAATAGTTGATTGGATAGAAAAACATCCAGATGAGACTACATTTCTATTGAGAGAGTTCAGTTTAAAAGACATAACATATATTATGAGTAAAAGTCCAAATATATCAGACGAATGTTATTATAGTAGGTTGAATTCCAATCGTGAAAATGAAATGTCAAAATCATATGAATATCAAGATGATTTTGATTGTCTCAGTGCCGAGAGCCAAAGAGACCGAAGTAATTTCCAATAAGAATAATAAAATCCAAAATTAATAACATTGTATATAATCTTTTTTTAAAAAAATTTTTTAATGTAAATACTATTTAAAATTGGAAATATATAAGGTTTTGAGGTGTAAAATAGAAATTAATACGATAGGTTTTAAATAAAATTACTATAACTAAAACATCGAGTAAAAGCTATGTTTGAAAAGCAATATAAGATACAAATTTGCTTTAAGTAATGAACAGAAAAAATAATCGGATCTCAATAAAGTGTACTATATAAAATAAATGACAATGCCAGATATAATTAATAATCACAATTGAATAGATTTATACTAAACAAGATTTAAAATATAAGTTCTGATATGAAAATAAGATCACAATGCACTTAAAAAAAAAGTGGTCAATGTTACACACTATCTTTGATAACAGAGTCTAGATGTCTATAATTAAAAAATAAGCTAAAATAAAGCCATCAATTTGAAAAAATATAACTTAAAAAATTTTAACTCGAAACCATAATCGAAAATATAAAAGTTTGTCAAAATTTATATGAGATTTATTAAACAACTAATGTTATCAGAAAAATAGGTTAGAACTAAAACAAAATTATTGGTATAGCTACAATTTTATTTTTGTTTAAATTCGTTATCAAATCCAAATTATAGAATAGAAAAGTTAGAAAATACTTAATTTAAATAAGGGATACGGTATATACATACTCATTTTTGTTGTTTGGCAGGCGTACATTTGATGGTGATTATGATGTATGCCTATTAAACGATTGAAATGTCCAAATCAGGGCTAATTTATTAACCGATTATATAAAAGGTCATTTATTAAATAAGTTAAATTAAGAACAAAAAGGTTAGAAAATCACATAGGGCTAAATTACTTACTAAAAATATAGAACTCTTATCGGTGAAAGGAGTGGTGGCTTGAAGTATTAATTATTTCGAGTATATTATTCCTAGGAGTTTTATAATTTTGAACCATAGGGAACTTATTTTATAAATTTAAATAATAGGAAACTAACTATTTAGATTATCATAGTTA